GGCCCCCCGCTGCTCCCCACGGCAGGGAGCGTGCCGCGGCCACGCTGGGTGTCACACGGCTCCTGCGCGTCCCCCGCATGGCGGAGCAGTGCCAGTCGGCACCCCAGCCATGATCTTCTACCAGTTCAGCCCCTCCGCCGTCAGGGGTAAGCTCAGCACGCGGCTCCGCTTCTGGCTGTCCCTTCTCGGGGGAGGTGGCAGACCCATCTCTCCCTGGGGGCAGTGGGCAGTAGAGGGGTGTGTGTGTGTGTGTGTGTGTCAGGGTATCATGGGGCAGTACTAGGTTGGGAGTTTGGTGTTTCTTTTCTTGGCTGGGGGCACCTGAGCTGCAGCTTCTGGCTGTGATGGCCCCATGGCCAGCAACTCCCCTGTGAGAGGTGGAGGAGCGGAGCAGGGGCAGGAGGGGGGTCTGGCAGGTCTGTTGGCTGTGGGAAATGCCCATCCTTGGGTCCTACCCACCCTGCGGATGCGGGAGGGATCTGCTCTCCGGAGCTGTCATGACCAAAGACCATTCATGTGGACCACGAGTCTTAGTGCCCACCTGGCTGCAGTCACAGCCGCAGGGCGTTTTCTCCCACGGAGGTGCCGGGATGCAGAGGATGGATGCGATGCTCCGTGGGGACCGGGCTGACCCGGTCAGGCTCCGGGGTTGAGATCTCCCCTGGTCTTAATGGTTTTGAGCCCTGTTGAGGGCAGGAGGGGTGAGCCACAGATTTTGGCTGAGTTCATGGCATGGATAAGAACAGCTGCATGGTTTGGACCCAGATGCAGATGCTTATTCCAAACCTTCTTCCCAAAACTTCTGAAATATTTGGGTCTAGGGTTTTGGCTTCACTGAACTGCTTGTTTTGGGCTTTTTTTTTTTCTTTCCCCCTGCTGTAGTTTTGTAATTGGAAATGCAGCCAGAGCTCTTGGCTGAGGCTGGTGATGGATGGTGATGAAATTGGGGTGTTTCAGTGCAATCCGCTCTGGGTGGATCCGGCCTCAGTCCAGTCTGTGCTGGGTGGTGCCTCCGAGAGGGATGGGCGAGACCCTGAAAATGCCGTCGCATTTTCTGCGCTTGAGGTCAAATGTTTGTCACCCTCAGAAGTATAAATCTCAGCAGACCGATGGACTGCCGACACTCGGCAGCAGCTTGCTTTGGCTGCATGAGCTTTGGGCTGTTTTCCCTCAAGTTCTGTAAATTTGAGTGATTTCCCAGAAAATAGTGCTAGCTGTTGGATGGGTTTATCCAGGCGATAGCTGAACCATGTGTGAGGGATGGGAACCGGCCAGGCAGGGGGTGTAGAAAACCATCAGTGTTTTGGTGCCTGCCAGGATGAACGTCAGCTTCAAAGAAGAGGTGGGGTGGTCCGGGGTGGTGGGAAGGAGAAGGAAAAGTTTCTTTGGCCGACTTTTCTGGAGGATGTTTGCAAAAGTGACCAGCCCTAAGCTTTGATGAGCTCTGAACTAATTATTAAAAACAAAGGTCTTCCTCTCTTGTCTGGCAGAGTACTGTATTTGGTTTGGTGGGTTCAGAAATGAAATGTTTCATTGGGAGGTTAAAATTGTGTCTTGTGAGCCCTATCGCTCCTGTGTTACCTCCTCCTCTTTGCCTCGTGCTAGCGGAGAGGCTAAAGCCGCGCAGTTTCTGCTCCCGGGGGCAGAGACCCCCTCTGTGCATGGGCATTGCTTCCCACCAGCGCATCCCCGGGCACCCCGCTCCCGTCTCTGCAGCCGGTCGTTTCCTCCGCTTTGTGCATGTGAAACACGGGCTCGAGCGCTGCGGGAGCTGGGAGGGAGCGGGCTGCTGCTGCAGGGAGCATCGCTGCTGCCGGGTGGGATGCTCAGGCCGGTTCTTTGCTTTCTTTCAGAAATCGAAGCCAAGAAAGCGTGCGACTGGCTGCGAGCGGCGGGATTCCCTCAGTATGCCCAGCTTTACGAAGGTGAGAGCTGCCTCCTCCTGCTGATCCCAGTCCCTGCCCTGTACCCGTGTCTCCTATCCCGTATCTCAATCACATACCAAGGGTGGCTGCAGGGAGCTCTGGGGAGAGGAGAGGACGGAGAAGATTGTTTACTAATTATACGATTATGTGTTAAAACTTTAAGCCTTTGGACTTGGCCATGGCCTGGAGAGTCAGCCATGCTGTTAACTTTTCTGCATTCCTGAACTTTTCCCCTTCAGGCAGGGCTGCGAGGAGTCCCCGGGGCAGCAGCTCAGGCCAAGGGCAGGCAGGCTTCGGAGAGCCATCGGCTCTGAGTAGTTCAGTGAGTGTTTGCAGTGGGTGGGAGGGCAGAGGCGGCCAATGTAGGTAACGCTGAGAGTGAGTGTTTCCTCCCTCATTCCCTCCCTCCCTCCCCGCTGACGCGTCCTGCAGGCTCCTGCCCTGCCTCGATATGCTATTTGGCAGCAAGGTCTGCTCTTTCGGAGTACGCAGCAAGTCGTGCCCGGGGCAGAGCGGTT